TGAATTTGACAATAGTTTGGAGATGGCTTGCCCAATTTCTTCTTGTTTGGCCACTATTTTGTTGGTTTCCTCCATTGTGCTGGGTTTTGATGTTGCTGTTTTTAGTTTGTGGGATGTCTTCTTGTAGAATTTAGGGAAGTTTAAGGGTGGGTGCAGGAAGGAAGGGTGTGAATTGGCACTATTAGTCTGTGGGTAAGTGCAGGGAAGAAAGCCCTGGTCTTGCTTACTGCCCACGTCTTAATAGAGCTTGGTATTGTTTAGCTAACCTCAGTGGGTGAGTGCAGGGAAGAAACCCCTGGTCTTGCTTACCGCCCACTGAATTTAAGGGTTTGTTACCCTGGTTGGCTTATTTTATAATCAGTAAGTGAGTGCAGGGAAGAAAACCCTGGTCTTGCTTACCGCTCACTGATTATTTTTGAGTTCGAAGGACCATGTAAACTCTTGTAGAGTTTAGGGAATGTTGAGGGTAGTTAGGTAGATGTGAATGAGAGGCTGGTTGTGGTTGAAAGAGAGAGAGTTTTATTAAATTAATTCCTATTTATACATAATTCTAATGTGACGTAGCAACTAGATAATTTAAACAATGTGCAAATATGCAGTTTTAACGGCGATGACCGATTAATTGGTACTTATTTTGTAGTCTCAGCACCTTTGAGTCGGTCACCGCTTCGAAATATTAAATTATTTAAATATAAAAAATTAAAATAATAAAAATTGAAAAATATAATAAATATAAAATTTTGGAAAGTATTAGATATTAAATTTGTTTAATTGACGATTAAACATCCATTATAGCCTAAAAACATTATTTACAGGCCCAAAAATTAAATTGAATTTTAATTGTTTGAAATAAATTTATTTTATTAATAAAAAATGTGTCAAGTGGTCAAATATCTTTTTTATAAAATTCTATCTTTCATACAAATTTTAAAGAATCAGATGTAAAGTTACGACAATTTCTTTACGAAATATTAAAAAAAACATACCAAAAACTTAAATTGTTCGTAACTTTTAAAACGTATTTTTTATAATATAAATAATATTATATAATTTATATATATAAAAAAAATAATAAAACACATAACTAAGTACTGTCTGTCCACTCTAAGTTGGCGGAGCTAAGGAATTTTGTTGTTTAGATATTAAAGAATTGTCGTACTGTGTGCTTTTAAAACAGATTTTATATTATAAATAATACTAGTATATAATATGTACTAGTATTATTTATAATATAAAATCTGTTTTAAAAGCACACAGTACGACAATTCTTTAATATCTAAACTACAAAATTCCTTAGTTCCGCCAACTTAGAGTGGACAGACAGTAGGTATGTTTTTTAATATTATTCATCTAAACTGCATGAACATTCCTTTGCTCCGTCAACTTATTAGGGACATACTGTAATTATACAGTGTGGAACTTACTTATGGAATAAAACTCGTTATTCGTTGAGAAAAGATTTTTTTGAAAAACGCTTGGACACGTAAACTTTAGTTTTTTATTCCAAATCTTATAATGATAATTTTAAATTTTATGCCCCCACCATTTTCCCCCCTGCACATTAGGCACCCTTATAACTTTTTTTCATCAAAAATTAATAGTACACATTTTTTTAGTACGACGATACCACATAAGTAGGGTTTAGTAACCATAATTTTCAATACAGGGTGGAAATATAATGACAAGTTAAAAAACTAAACTTTTTATTTTAAAATTAATTAAAAATTCAAAAATAAACTGTTCTTTAATCTTATAAATGTTCAAAATGTCCCCCGTCCACTTCCTGACACTTTAGTAATCTACTGTGAAATTGTTCCCGCACACTGTTTAAAACCTCCGGTGTTATGTTCCTAATTTCTCCAGTAATTCTGTTTCTTAATTCATCTAAATTAGCAGGTTGTGTTTTAAACACCCTGTTTTTTTTAGATATCCCCATAGAAAAAAAGTCTAGAGGTGTTAGATCCGGTGATCTTGCTGGCCATTCCACCTGTGTGGAAAGGTGTCATTTAAATAATTCCATACAGGAAGAGCATAGTGGGGTGGGGCACCGTCTTGTTGAAGCCATATCCTTTCATTGGGAAGATTAGGTTCCAATGGATTTGGAAATAACTCTGCTAAAGTTGGGACAACTTGTTCTCTTAGCATATCCAGATATCTTGCCCCGTTAAGATTTTCAATGAAAATAGGTCCCACCACATGATCACCAACAATACCAGCCCAAACGTTGATTTTCTGAGGACTTTGTCTCATCCAGTGGGGATTTTCTTCTGCCCAGTACCTGCAATTTTGACTATTTACCTCGCCATTTAATAGAAATGTTGATTCATCAGAAAAAAGAATATCTGCAGAAGAAATAACATTCCTGTTTAACATATGCAGCATTTGCTCGCAAAATTGTAATTTTCTATCAAAATCACCATCAATCAATTCTTGTACGTGTTGTAGTTTATATAGATGCATTTTTTCGGCTTTTACACATTTTAAAACGGTCGAATGACTAACATCGTTTTCACGTGCAACCTGACGCGTAGAAGTTGTGAATCTTCTTGAAAAGCTAATAAAATATTAACTTTCACATTTTCATCAATAAAATGAGGCGTCCTGCGTAATGCTTTAACGTGTCCATATTCACGAAATTGTGCATGTATTTTAGACACAGTTGCCTGAGAAAGTGGTGGTATTTTCCATTAAAAAGGTTTGCACCGCTGTGATCTGCACATATCACGGTAACCAATCATCATTAATATTTCTATTCGCAGAGTTTCTGTCAAGTGTCGCATTTTTTAACTAAAATATTAACTGATACTTGGATTTAACAAAATACTTTAATAAGTAAAGCGCAAAATGTTTCATTAATAATAACAATGCAAAAAGGACAAAAGCAAAAAATGGCATTAGCAAAAAACAATAACAAAGCGAAAAAACATGAATATCTAAATAGCGAAAGCCACAACACAAGAAACTAAATCATAGAATAACAATAAAAAATTCATACTTGTAATTTTTAAATATTCACCCTGTATTGAAAATTATGGTTACTAAACCCTACTTATGTGGTATCGTCGTACTAAAAAAAATGTGCACTATCAATTTTCGATTAAAAAAAGTGGGGTTGTTATTTAAAATAAGGGTGCCTAATGTGCGGGGGGGGGGGAAATGGTGGGGGCATAAAATTTAAAATTATCATTATAAGATTTGAAATAAAAAACTAAAGTTTACGTGTCCGAGCGTTTTTCATAAAAATCTTTTCTCAACGAATAACGAATTTTATTCCATAAGTGAGTTCCACACTGTATATATTTTATTGAAATTTTGAGCCTATTTTCTACATATATTTGGGGCTTATCTTGGTCTTATTTTCTAGATATACAGGGTGTCCGGGAAAAGGAGGTCAATCCGTTAACCATATATTCCTTGAGTTAAAACAATAAGACCCATACTTTACAAATTATCTCTTAAACAAATCATTTTATCAAAATTTTATAAGAGACAAAATTTTTTTAACAATAAATGATTACCTGAAAAAATACCGTTTGGAAGTCATTGGCGCACGTACTAAAAAATAGGGGGAGTCAGTGAGTACTGGACCCCCTATTTTGATTATTTAACAATTGTTTTTTGTTTTGTTGGTCTCAAAAAATTTAACTATTTATGTTAAAGTAGTGTACCGAATTTAAACTTAATATCTTATCAATTACTCGAATTATTAAAAAAATCAGTTTTAAATTTCAAACTTTGTCGCCCTGTATATCGAACATGAAGCTCTAAATTGAAAATTGGTATTATGAAAGTCTTATTGTTTTAACTCAAGGAATATATGGTTAACGGATTAACCTCCTTTTCCCGGACACCCTGTATTTAAAACTATTTTTGCCAATAACCTTAATAAGGTTACCATATTAACGGTTTTTTCCTTATGTTGAGTTGTCTTTGAAGTAGATTGTTGTTGAAGTACGTGAAGTTGATGGCTTAAAATCGATTGTTGCTGTGGTGGTACTGTTGGTTGGCGAAAAAACACTTTTATCACTACCTGGACTGGTTCTAAAACAAGAGTGGGAGTTACATTGTACAGACGCATAATTTATATCTAGACTCTTGAATAATAATCTAGACTCTTAAATAATAATCTGGACTAGTTAATGTAGACAAGACCGCATTAAGCTTTTTTAATCAAGAGTTAGACTTCACAACTCTTGTCTTGAAATTTTCAAGACAAGACAATAGTAAGTAACTCTTGTCTTGTCTTGTCTAGACGGCACCACTAAAACACAGCCACACAATTTTTTTTTTGTTTTGATCTGGGGGTCTGACCATATTTCTTTTATGTTTTTGGGGTCGCTAAATCCGAATCCAAGGTCTATTTAACCCCATCACATCAGGATTTTGACATAACCTCAAAAAATCTATAATTTAAGCTATTAAACGCATATAACCCTAAACATTAAGTTGTTGTCTAAAAACCCAAGCTCCTAAACCCTATAAGCCTAAAACTCACTTAACTCCATAACCCCATGACCCACTTAACCCCATCATCTATTTAAACATATAATCCTTAGGATGAAATTGTGATCTGAAAACCCAAGCTATTAAACCCAATAACCATTTTAACCCCATCCCATAAACCACTTAAACCCATAACCTTGTAACCCATTTAACCCCATCAACATCAATTCCAACAGTTCCGTATGTCAGACATTTAGCTTTGAAGAGACTAAAGTTATGCGGTTATTAAAATAACATACATATTAAGTTAAATATCTGACAAACGTGGTTTATGTATATTGAGTTATGAGGTTAAATGGGTTATGGGGTTATGGAGTTATGTGAGTTATGAAGTGATATTTAAGAGCTTGGATTTTTATATGAAAACCACATTCTCAGGGTTATATATAGTAATAGCTTATATGATGGGTTTTTTAAGGTTATGGCAAAATCCTGATGTGATGGGGTTAAATAGACCTCGGATTCGGATTCAGCGACTCCAAAAATATATAGAAAATATGGTCAGGCCCCCAGATCAGAACACAAAATTTTTTTTGTGTGGCTGTGTAATCAGTCGTTTTGGAGATGTCAATTGGCCTGCACGGAGTTGTGATTTAACGCCATTAGATTATTTTCTGTGGGGTTTCGACCGATGTTATGCGGACAATCCAGAGACAATTTCAGCTTTAAATCATAACATTGAAACGGTTATTGGCAAGATAGGCGGCGAAATTATCGAAAAAGTGCTTCAAAATTGGACACGCAGGATAGCTTACTGCAGAGGAAGTCACATGAACGAAATTGTTTTTTATTCATAAATCGGAGACTCCAATGTTCACAATAAAAAATGTTCTTAAAATATTGATTTAGACTCATTTTATAGCGTTTTTAAAAACAAACCAATAAATGGCCCACCCTTTATTAGTTAAGTAGAGTATGTATTAGGTAATTTATCTGTATTTTATTTGTTTTAGGATAAATTACTACCAAACTCATCTTGGAAGGATTACTCATCAAATACCAATTATGCATTTGATGCGCTGGAAGAAAACGAAGAAAAACATAACGGAAAACAAGCTCACAAAACAAATGTACCAAATCAAACATATATTGCCAACACTAGATCTCTTCAAAGACCGAAAGGAAATTATTCATATGATTTAGAAAAAAACACTTTTTCCTTGCCAAGAACATATGATAAAAACAAGTTACATGATATTCAGCCTGATTTTTATTTTATGCCTTCGCAAAGAAAATATTCTGGCGAAGTGGTAAGAGTGTATGTTGATTACAAGAATTAATTTAAATAATTAATATATATATATATATATATATATATATAAAAATATGTAACTAATAAATATTTATAGTAATATACATAATGGTTTTAATTATTACTTATTTTAAGCATTGGTTTAATATTTATTAATTATAATAGCATAATGCGTTGTTAGATTTATTTGCACTTTTGTAATGAAAGGTTTTATTTAATTAAATAATAATATTTATTTGTTTTAAAATAGTCTCGAGTTTTAAATGTTGTTAGATGTTTAAACTTAAAATTTTAAAAAGTCGAGTGCATAATAAATAATTTAAAATTGCCGATCCTGTTCGTGCACATTTCTTCAGAAATCTGGAATCGCGATAAAAAAATATTTAGTGCTATCGTTATTTAAATTGATTTAAATATGTTGTAAGTGTCTTCATCTATTAAAAATTTAAGAAAATATTTAAAATTCCCGTTTCTTAAAGCACAAATCATTGTTTCATAGTTATCTCGAAGGCAGTAAAAATGAGGCCGAACGCTGTGCGAACAAAAAAGTCAATAACAATGGGAATAGATATACAATAATAGATAAGTACACATTTTGTGCAACTTCGAGTTTCAACGATAGTTGATGTCAGTTTTAACAAAAAAGCGTTTAAAGTTTGTATTCTTTAATAAATAATCTAATACACCAAACATTTTTCTGCAAATAACATTTTTATTAAAACAGGATTATACCTCAATACTGGGAATGAAATTCCTATTGTTGTGATGTATTATTCCTGCTCACATGCGTAACGTTCCAACGCAACAAACGATTTAGCATTTAATTATTTTAGATTTTAATTATGGCCCAAAACTTTTGGCGATAAAAACGACTCGGTTATAAAAAGAGTTCCGTCCGGAGTCGAACAGGTGAACGGTTATACATGTAGTGAGGCGGCTTCTACTTTGGTAGTGTATGCTACAGTAGCACTGCTACTAGATTGTTTGTATGTATAATATACATTGTATATCTCGCGGCATATGTTGAAAAATGTCAGAATTTGTTGACAATTAAGGGCCTTTAAGTAAAAGGGGTTTAAGTTAAATGATTCTGATAAATTTGCCTTTAAAGTTAAAAAAAAAATAAAACAGTTTAAGGTAGGTATATTAATTTTATTATAAACAATAATTCGACCCATGCAACGAAGACTATAGTAACTAATTTTTTGTTAAACTGAGAAATAAAATATAAAATAAAAAGATTTTTAACACATTTCACTGTGGAAAATAACATTATCTAAGCAAGAAATATATCCATCTGATTGCTGCAAATGTTTTATATGGACGGGTATGAGTGAGCTAACGCTACAAAAATACCGAATAACGAACATTTTTTGAGTCTTTATTGCATGGATCGAATTGTTAAACCAAAATCTTAAAAAATGCTATAAAAAATTACCTTGTAAACAACTGTTTTTACTCCTTTAATGAGTTCTTAAATTTTACCGACTAATAATGTTTACGATTTTTTTTACCCATTTAAATGTTTACTAATTTTATTAAATGTTTACTTATTTATCAATTTATTTATTGTATACCGTATGACTATATGTTTTATGACTAAATGTTTCACCTTGTTTTTTTAGCAATAAACATATTAATATTATTATTATTATTATTATTATTATTATTATTATTATTATTTTTATTATTATTATTATAAATGTACAATAAAATTAATACACTTTTATTGACTATTTTATATAATTGAATAAAAATATCTCAAAATCATTTTAAATGCACTTATACCCCTTTTATTTTAAGGCCCTTAATTTTTTTTTGCGTTAGAAACTATTTCCGCCTTGGATCAAAATATAAACAAAAGATCAAAACGATGAAAAAGATGCGCGATCGGACAGCGCCAGAAAAAAAATCGAGTGTGGCACGTTTTCATGCGTGGCCGAGTATAGGAAGTTTAGAAAGTATTAACTCGCTAGGTAGATTGTTAAACTAAGGTGACCAACTGTGTAAAGGAGAAAACCAGGACAGCGGTGGCCCGTAGGAATTTTTTTTTTAAGAAAATGAGGCGTTGCCCTAAGACTACAAGTGTTATGACACAAATTTCATAATTGTTATTTTATATATGGGTCGTTCCACGCTAAATCAGCCACTTTTAAACCCGACACCTTACGATTTGGCTGAAATTATGTTATATTTTTTCACCCCATCAAAAGTTTTTCTTAGAATTTTTTAGTTTTTTTCACCCAACCAAAAACATGTTAAAAATTATTCAAAAAAATGTCTCTTTTTTCCCAAACTTTTTTGTATTTTTTTCTGAAAAGTTCATTATTAATCATTTGAGGATCGTAATCAACGAGTAGACCCGAAACTACAGGTATGCCAAAACATGTTATCATTGTAATTGTATTTCCAACGTAAAGAGAGTAAGAGCCATTTCATAAATAAATTAATGAATCCGGGATATCTACCTGCCTACAGTCAGTTAAATCAGGTGACAACACCCTAGTACTACTGATGTTAAACTATTACATTTTCCACCAAATAAATCAGGCATATATTGACGGTATGATCTGCAACGGAAATCAATATAACATTTTCTTAAAAGTATATAGACAACTTGCATTATTAATTGCTTGCATGTACTAAACGCTTGTAAGGCTGTCAATACACTGTTTAATCTCGTGCAACCTGGGAGTGTGATAATATTAAATTGACAATACATCCTGTACCTTCCGATATCCTGTAGGAACAGCGGAAAAGGCGAGTCCCAACGATGGAACACCAACATTGAAAAGATTCCCACCGAAAAGCTATAGGCAACCACATAAAAGAGCCAATAAAGGCAATCCTTCCCAAAAACAAAAAAAAGAAACTTCATAAATATTAACACACTTCCGCAGAGACTATTGTTGATATGTGAGCTGATGATAAGGTACTAATAAACATATAACTACTTCAACAACAAAAAAAAATAAAAATAAAAAAAAAATAAACAGAAACAACTCTCGATCGTAATGATCGTCAACAATATAAACAATAAAAGAGGCACATGCCCACTGTAAATCGATAAACGAAGTGCACTCGTACACCGATTTGATTTTACAATAAAAAAAGGTTTTACCATAATCAGGCCCGTAAAGCAGGGTAAATGTCACTTGATTTTATGACTGCCGGTAATCGTCTTGTAATCCTTCGTCTTAAACACCGACCCAGGCGCCAGGTCAACGACCTTGGCAGTTTACTGTTAAAAAAGGGGTATAAAACGAAATATTGGTTTCCGCAGTTGCTTTTGTTCTCTTTAATATAAATAAATAATATGGTTATAAATATTTGTTTGATTGTTTGTCACTCTTCCTACTTTATTATGACGAATCGGGGCTAGACGTATTCTTGGCCAAATTAAAGGTAAATATAGGTATTAAAGGGTAAATTAATTAAACACAACGTAGACCGGGTCCTTTCCATTGCAACCCATATACCTATAAGGAGTTATAGGTATATGGCTAAACCTTTAGTCCATCGTTTCTTAACCTCGGGTCGCGACCCAAATGTGGGTCGCGGGCCATATCGGGATGGGTCGCGGGACTTGCGGGATTTTTGTTAAATTTTAACTTACTTTAAATAAAGAAAATGTAGAAAATTGATGATTTTATGTTTTATCGGGTCGCGAGCTTCTAATATTTTTGAATTGTGGGTCCCCAGCCAAAAAGGTTAAGAACCGCTAAAGTTTAGTCACTCCACCCATATGCAACATACCAACCACGCATCGGCAGTTCAACATTCATTTAGTGTTTAGGAGTGTTAGGTGAGCGGTAATCGAACGACTCGGCTTTGCTAAATTAACTGAGTCCTTAAGGGACAAGGCGCGATGGCGAGCAATGGCGATTCGAACGAGTCATTTAGCAGAGCTAAGTCGTTCGTTTAGCGCTCACTTAACTGGGCCGTACGTTTTGAACGACCCATCGCTAAGTACAACTTTCACTGGCGATTGGTGATGTTAAAGTTTGCTCTGGATTATTAATACGAATTACGCATTATTAAGTTAATTTACTTTTAAAAAGATTCCGATACTTAAAATGTAACGTAATCACTTTTAACAGTAAATTATTAATTAAAGGTGTAAAATCATTATTTTTTTGCATGTCTTATAAAAAAACGTTTAAACATAAAAAATAAAAACATAAAATATTTCTCTTGAAAACAAATTAAAATAAATAAATAAATAATCTTAAAACAAAACTAAAAATCAAACATCTTTAAATAAATGTAAATAAATAAATTAATTAATTAAATAATAAAAATAATAAATTATTATTTGAAGACAAGCTTTGAATAATTTATTCAAAGCCTATTTTCAAACGTTCCCCCAAATTGCGTCAAACAAAAGCCCAGTCTGTCATATAATTCGGTGCGAACATTATTCATTTTTTCATGACGGTACAAGGTAGATTTTGCATATTCCATAGAAAAAAAATTGGCGACCTTGCTGGCGAGTGAATAGCGCCCCTGGTAGAAATTATCCTTTGGGAAAAAATCTCTTGTAAATACTCCATCACCATTCTTGTTTTATGTGATGGGCAACCGTCCTGTTGATACCAAACGTTATCCAAATTTGGGGTTATGTTTTGGATTGCAGGAATAATTCTATTTTGAAGAAGATCCAAATATCTCGCTCCATTTAAATTGCCACCAATTACAAAGGGACCAATAATGTTATTCCCATAAATACCAGACCACACGTTCAACTTTTCAGGATACTGAGTCTTTAAGTTCAGTTGCCTGTACTAATTTTCAATAGACCAGTACCGGACAATAGCAGGATTGTGCTTTCCATGTAATGGAAATGTGGATTCGTCGGTAAATAATATGTTTTCAATGAAATGTTCATCTTCATTTGCGCGTTCTATCATATTTTCACAAAATTCCATTCTCCGGTACTCGTCTTAAAAAATTTCCTGATGTACTTGGTATTTATAGAAACGTTATTTTTTGTACTTTACCCACACTAATGCCGGTATCTTCGGCTATTTTAGGAATTTATGTATTTGAATCTTCTTCTACTATTGCACAAACCATTACTTCTTTCATCTCCGCATCTACATTAATTCTGGGAGTACTGTGACATTTACACCCCAAAATACAACCATTTGTTTTAAACCTTTGGATAACGTTTGTTATTGTTTCAATTGAAGGAATAGAACGTTCCGGATATTTAACTGCGAATAGGTCTCTTGTTTGACGTAGTCCACTAAAGACCAGCTTATCATGTCAATTTTCTCTTGCAATGTGTAGGACATTATAACTTATAATTTTAAATAAAAAAAATTAATTTATGTTAAACGCTCGTAATACTCACTAGTAAATGCAAAACAAAACAATGCATCTGGGAAGGGGCATCTGAAGAGGGGCGATCGGATTCACTCGGGTTCACTCGAGTGTTCAGGTTTCAAATGAAAATGCGGTATATATTGGGACTTAAACGAACTAGTCAATAGATTAACACATCGCATGATATCGAAGCAAGCAATTATTATTAAGTTAAAAGAAGCTGGGGCTATATATTGTAGCGAGTACGGCTCTGGATCTCGGAATGATGACTCATCGCCGGTAAGTCAGCGATCGAGAGCTCGCTGGAATATTCAAGAAAGTGCTTGCGTGACGTGGTCACGTAGGCACTGAATATATAAGGAACGACGCAGCATGGAGTCAAGTTTTGGTACTCGCGACGAAATAAATAAATATACGTGCAAATAAATAGACTCTAGTACAGTAGTGATATATAAATAATTAGTAGTTAAGTTTTAGTTAGTTTTATAGTGTTTTAAGTGTAATTAAGTAATAAAATAAATAGTTTAGTTCATTAATAAACCAATGCGTGTTTTAATTCATACTAAATGGAGAGGAAGTCGTGTTGCATCGATCTAAAGAGTGTAATGCTAACAGAAAATGCTTTGATACCGAAACACAGCGAGATGATATTGAAGGCTTTCTTGGATTGTAAATCAGAAGATGGAACTATAATGCTTCTGATGACAAGGAGGTCGGTCGAGGAATTGTAGTAGGGAAGACTTTAATACGTGTCGGAAAAGAAGTGCCTGTAAGAGTATTGAATGTTAATGGTTACTCTGTGAACTTGAAGAATGGAATCGTTTTGGGAAACTGTTATTCGGTTTTCTTGATTATTAAAAGCATTCGTGAGTCTGCAATTCCGGCCAAGAAAGTGAGCAATGATTTGACGAATCTTCTGTCGACTTCTTCAAAGGATTTGAAACTCAATGAAAGGATAAAGCTGAGAGAGCTGATTCAAAATTATCAGGATGTCTTTGACGATGGACAAGGAAAGAACGGTATGACAAGAATTTTCCAGCATAAAATTAACACCGGTGATGCACAGCCCATTCCACAGTCGGCAAGAAGGCTACCACTTGCCAAGCGAGAGTAACCTGATAAAATTGTGCAAGAAATGGAGAAGGAAGGGGTGATCGAACCATCTAACAGCCCATGATCTTCCCCAGTGGTGTAAGTTAAAAAAGAGGATGGATCCACTCGATTTTGCATCGATTTTCGTCAGATGAACAACGTGACGAAGAAGGACAGCTACCCTCTGCCTAGGATCGATGACACCCTGGATACATTGCACAGTGTGTTAAATTGATTTTCTAGCTAGACAAAACCTAAATGACATAAAAAATTATAAATTTTCTTTGGAAGCGGGGTATTTGGGTTCACTGAATCCAAATCTGACATCCAAAATGCAGAAATTAAATTCGTTAATTACAAAATGGCCGGCGCCTTGTAATAAAAAATAAACTTTCGGCTTCGTCGAAAATTGGTCAACTTCCGTTTTTCCAAAGAAACGCCCTGTATATTTTTGTTTATTTGAAATCTGGAGAAAATTTTGAATCCGATAAATGCACATTCGCTACCATTTTGCAATTGACCTTGAATTTTTGTCCAGTTTTAGTTTTCAATCCAGAAAGCTGCAATTTGGAGAATCAATTAGTTTTACCATCCAAATTTGCAGTAAAATGCATAAATAGTAAATGTTGCTAAAATACCCAGACTGCAATGAAGGTTCGAAAATATTCCAGGAATATTCCCTATCGCCTAGGAATAATCCGCTTCATTCTAGGAATAATCATTGGGAATATTCCTAGAATGATCCTCTAAAACTTCCAAGCATCATCTAAGAATATTCCCAGTGAATATTCATTAGTTTAGTTGCAATACCTCTCACCGTTGCTTACGCACGCTTGATAACTATATATACGGATAGGTTAATATTATTAGTTGGAGATGTGCGTCTGTGATGGCACAGCCAAACAATGATTAGAGTGGGACTGATCTACTCAGTAGGGTAGAGAGGGGGAATGGCGACCACCTAAGAAAAATTAACCATAAAATAATTTTGAACCAATATTTTTACTTTTTGAAAATCGGAATAGAAAGACTAAAGTCTAAAGATTATTCATGAATCAATTCAGAAATACAACTCAAATAGTTTTTCCAAAAAAAAAATTCTTAACAAAGTGCTTTTGGTCGTCATTTCCCACATAACGGGGTAATTACGACCAAGTGCAGGGTAATTACGATTAAGTGCTAGGTAATCGCAACCAGGTATATTTGACTTGTGATGCCATAAGACATTTGACTTTTGTTGCTATAAAAAAATTTATTAAATTCATAAAAAACTAAAATTAACAGGTATTCAATATTAATAACAAAACAACTAATTATATACTTGAAAATATTACAAGAATTTACCCTGCTTTAAATAAACACGAATTGACTGCAGCCAATGTAGAATTTCTGGTTACCGACTGTTTTGGTTAGGTAAGGCTACTAAAGGCTAGGTGACCCTACTAAAATATTGTACATAAATATTACCTTACTATGAAACTTTTGATGATCGTTATTACCCGCTGGTCGTCATTCCCCCACTTTACCCTAACTCAATAATGGCTATACTTAAGTTAAGTCCCTGGGTATAAGAGGCAATAAGGGCTGGGAATAATCCCCAAATTATATCAAGGAATATTCCCCTAACAATCCTTGAGTCTTCTGCAGGCAGATATATGGAATATTCTTTTTATGATGCCTGGGTTAACCAAAAAGCGGACATTTGATTATGCCAGGAATATTCCTGGGAATATTCTGGGACGATTGGAATATTCCTGGGAATATTCCTGACATGTGCAGGGAATGTGATTTTGCGGTCTGGGTATTGTTTTTTTAATTAACTCAACTTTTTAAATACCATCAGAGTGGCAATCAAAACCAACCAATGTCATAAAAATTCGGTTAGTGTTTTCCACGAAAATTACACTTATGGAAAACTTAAATTACAAAAAAAATTAAGATCATTATAAAATTCCCGCGAAAGTGTAAGTATCGAATTCAAAATTTTCTCCTGATTTGAAATATGCAAAGATATGCATATATGGGGTTTCATTGAAAAAACGAAAGTTGGCATTATTTCCGGGGAAACCGGAAGTTTTGTGGTATCCATTGAAGGTTGAAATAATTATAAATTAACTCTTTATTATTGCTCCCAAATTTCAACTCTATTCCAAAATTTAATAGTAAAAAAGGAGTGAGCCGGTTTTTGGTTACACCCTGTAGAAGAGGCAAATTGGGGCAATAAATAAAGGCACATAAGTAATCTTTAGACGTTATAAAACAAAACAAATATTGATAGTGCACCCGATATTGCTCGATTACAATACTTCTTGCTTAATAAATATTGTCCATATTTAACAACACCAAGTGAATTTCTATATCTATAGCCTGTTGCTGATAACTGATATTATAAATCCCTTATTATAAAAAATAAGTAATATATACCTAGATTCATAGCGGCAAAGTTCAAAATTTGATTTAACTTGAAACAATGTCAAAATCACTCCACCTTTCTGCAACACCTAAACGGCTAAGTATATTTATAAAAAATGATACGCCCGGAACTGGCACCTTCATAGTGCTGAATACACTGTTA